TTTGAATATTTATTAAACAACTTCCTACTTTTCAACTATGATATCGATCATTCCGTATTAAGTAAAGAAATAATCGATAACTATGACCCAAATAAGTGCAGTAGATAAAATGTGACTTATTTACTTTTAGTGGTTGTGATTATATTTAAGTTTTATACTTGGTATCAAAGTAACTCTAAGGAATAACCTCTCCAATAGATATTTGTAAATAAAAACTTATTAAATTGGCTATGCGTACACTTTTATAGTCACTTTGATATAATTTGAAACATAATTATGGTCACTAAAAATTAATAACCCATACTTTAGTCAATATCCTTATTTTAGTCATATATTAGGAATTATTTATTTAATTAATAAGGAATAGCTCGTACCATGATTGGAAAATTAACATGTTACTTAATACACCTTTGTTTTTTTTTTAATTTTCTACATGCAATATTGATCTCATATGAGAGATCATAAAAGATTATGAATTTTGATATATATACCTTGGGCCCTGCCAATTGTATGACTCTCATTTGAGCAACTTCATCACATCATATGACCTTTTAAAATCATTGATCTATTTTACATTGACAATATGATCATACATCGAACATCATTTTCATTTAGAATGTTATTTAGAGTCTGTTTGGTAACACATAAAATGGTTGAATCTATTGAAACGGCTGAATATACTAAATTTTGGAAAAAACAAATTTAAAATATATTTTATTTATAAAATAACTAAACATTTATCTGAAAAAGTAGCTAAAATGTGACTTATTAACTTTTAATGATTATAATTATATTTTAGTTTTATAGCAAAGTAACTTTAAGCTAAGGAAGATCCTCTAAAAAAGATATTAGTGAATATAAAACTGATTAAATTGGTTATGAGTGCACTTCTGTAGTCACTTTGATATAATTTTTAAACATAATTATATATAGGTTACTTAATAAATCTAGAGTTTTTATTTTATTTTTATATGCAACTTTGGACTCGTATGAAAGATCATAAAAAAATATGAATTTTGATATATGTTTTTTAAAAATTAGAACAAAAATGAAAAACTTATAACGTTTTAAAGAAAATAGAAATTACTCCAAATAGGACTAAAACTATGGCAAAAACTCAAAATAAGACTTACTATGTTTTTCTTTTCAAAATAGGACCATATTAGTCTTATTGGAAACATGCCTAATTTTTTATTCCATTCTTACCCTTCCTTTATATATGGGTTAATTAAATGTTTAATTCATAATAAATTCAAAAAAAAAACAAAAAATCGTAGAAAAATAATTTAAAAAATTATAAAATATTTATAAAATAAAAAATTAAAAAATAATTTTTTAAATTTTTTTATATTTTAAAAAATTAATAAAACATAGTAAAACTCTATAAAAAAAATAAAAAATATATGGATGCCTTTCCCACCGCCTGTACTACCTCCCTGCACCATCATCTCCGAGCGGTGAAAAAAATGTCATTTTTCCTAAAAAGTGCCATTTTTTCTGAAAATGCCAAAAACATGGCATATTACTCTTTGAGAATGACAACATTTTCATTGTTTTCTGCCATAAATATGACATTCGTAATGAACTTGGCATTTTCTCCCCTGGTGACTGGAGGTGGTGGTGCAGAGGCGGCAGAGGCGGCGGTGAATTTTATTTTATTTTTTTGAGTTTTTTATTTTTTAATTTTTATTTTATTTTTGGAAAATAAATAAATAAATAAATTATTATTATCGAAATATTTTTATTAATTTTTAGTATTTTTTATTAGTTTTTATTATTTTATTATGAATTAAAACATTTCAATAGCTATAAGGGTATATTTGTCCAAGACACACATAATTAGTCCTATGAAAACATAGTTTATTTTTTGGTTCTATTTGTGCAAAGTGAGTGACTTTTAGTCCTATTTTTATAATTAACCCTAAAGAAAATGAGTGTTTTATATGGTGGGCCCCGTCACTTCTTTTTCTGTTCAAGCGTGCATTGCTTTGGTGCGCTATACTAGGGGTGGGCGCGGTCCGGAACGGTCTGGTAAATTAGTAAAACCCGTAATGCATCCGTGAGGTTTTTAACGGTCCGGTACGGTGTGGTTCAAAGAATGGAACCATTGGGTACCATGTCGTTTCGGAACGGTACAAAATGGTACGGTACAATGTCAACACATGCTAAAAAAATTGGACAAATTTTGCAATTAGTAGATACCATCACACCAACTAAGTCACTTGAAATGTTGATAAATTGCATACGTAGTAGTCAAATTTACAAATACACAAATAGTGCAACACAACTAAGAAAAATATAGCAAAATGATGACACACAAGATATATAACATCTTTAATTTACTAAGTTCATGTGAACATATAAAAAGAATATCATCAAATTGTTGAATATAATAGAAAACTTCAACGTTCTTCTTCTTTGTTCTAGGTTAAATATTATTCCATATATAATTCTAATTTAAATTATAGTTGAACCTTGAGAGCTAAGATTTAAACCATATTAATTAAGTTGTAAAATTACACAAACATGATACAACAAAAAGTCATATACACTACATTACTAGAAATGAATAGTCATTAATCTTTTTTAAAACTTTAACATTCTTTCAATACATTCTAAAATATAACATAAATTATCTAAAAATAAAAAATAAAAATATGTAAACACACACACACACACACACACACACACATATATATATATATATATATATATAGAGAGAGAGAGAGAGAGAGAGGTTGATTCAAGTAAGAACACTTGTTTAGGAGAGAAATAAGAACGCTTGAGACTCGTTGATTTGTGTATTTGAACGGTTGGATGGTGTGCAAAATTACATCAGCCGAAGATTTTGTAGAAGGAAAGTTATTAATGAGAGGTTGTGGGCAATTAAAACAGAGGCACGTGAGGGTTAAAATAGACCTTTCAATTGGAGAAAAAATCAGGCCTCGTGCAGAAAAAGGCGGCAGACATGCGAGAATCCCAGAACAAACGACCTTACCAAAGATAGGCGATTGAAATTTGGTAGGTTCCATTCTGTAAATTTCCGATTCAGAATATTGAAATGGAAAGAAGGCATACAAGGTCTTGTGCAAAAAAAGCAGAGGGTACCACGGAGAGGATGAACTGTGAAGTGATGAACATCCCTGGTGCTGGCGGTGGAAGTGGTAAGTGCATTATTTGGTACTTAATCGTTTAATTTCGAGTACGAACAGAGCATTGGACGAAGGACTTTGAAGTGAAGAAATGTTGAAGTATAATGAAAGATTTCATGAAATTTCGTGTGTTACAGGAGGAGGAGATGTCGATTTTGGGACATGCACGGACGAAGGTATTGGAGTTCAGAACTTGGTGCCGGAAGGGACTGAAGAACACGCCGGTGCATCGAAAGTGGAATGTAAGTGCATGTCATTGTACTTTAAGTTTTGAGTGGTGAATTTGAGCGTACTTGAATGTGCATTTGTGTAAGGGCATTTGTGTTAGAATGCATAGTGATGAAATTCGCAATTCTAGTAAATGTTAGTGTGCAAAGAAAGTAATAATAGTGTGCTTGAATGTGCATTTGTGTAAGGGCATGTGTGCATACTAGAAAATTTTAGTGTGCAAAGAAGATACCAAACACTTGAATGTAAGGACTGAATAAAGACCAGTAAATTTATGACTATTGTCAAACAATCTTCACAGATTAGACCCAAAATAAAGACAAAATACTAAAACTGCAGATTTGAGAGTAATAGTATGCAATTATAGTGCATATGTTAGTCTAGTGATAAATGAAGTATAATTGCAGATTAAAATGAAAATGTAAGGTGGATTAACTGATTTGCTATTATAGGCATTATAATAGTGCAATATGTTGGTGTGTTTTGATATTGTAGTGTGTGTGCGAAAAGGTGCAAAGCTCGGTAAGAGAAAGAGAAATGAAAAAGAATTTGAATGATGCATAGTAAGTGGGTTTTTCTTGTTTGTTTTGATAATGCAGTGTTAGTTCAGAAAGTTGCAAATTTGAATAAAATAAAAAGAATTGGAAAAGAAAAAGACTATGAAAAGGATATGGATTGTGGCAAAGAAAGTGATGATGATTTTGTATCCACAAAAGAGGATAGGAAAGTGCTAAGAAGATGTGATGCTAGTAACATTGATGTGAGCAGAAAAAGAGTGATGGAGACAGAGCTGAATGTCCTTCAAACAAGATCTTCTCCACGTCTACTTGTGAGAGCAATAAAAGCAATGAACAATGCTCAAAAGAAAGCAGTCTAAGAAATTGGATTTGGTGGCTTGCTCAATCTGGAGATTTCACAGTTGCCTTCCAAAATGGCGTTCTGGGTTGTGGAGAATTTCAACCCAAGAAACTGCACTCTAAGGCTACAAGAGGGACACAACGTGCATATTTCAGATGAAGATGTAGCAACGCAGATTGATGACAGGTAGTGGAGCAACGCAGATTGTGCCACAAGCAAACCACGAACCATGCAACATTCTGAAGGAGTGGAGGGCGATGTTTAAGAAAGGTGGGAGGAAAATTACACCGGCTGATATAAGTGATGCCATGCTTTTGTGTGAGGAAGGTGATATATGGTTTGTGAGGCATTTTGTGGTGTTAGTTGTGACTGTAATTTTTGACAGTGGTGCAAATGGATATGCACACCCGTTGATAATGAACAACCTGGAAGATGAGAGCAAGATAAAGGGGCTGAATTGGTGTCGTTACGTAATATCATGCCTGATAGAGAATAAATTGAGTTGGGAGAAGAACAAGAAAACAACATTCAACGATCCTTTGCTATTTCTAATGGTATTGTTTAATGTATTGAACATGTTTAATTCGTTAAACTGCTTTAAAACAACTAACACAAAATTTACCTTACATGTAGATGGTGTATGTTGATAGAGTCGTGCTCTATCAAAGAACTATTGAAAGAAAGCTACCTGTCATCATCGGATGGAATGCACACATGTTGAGAGAAAGAGAAAATGCTGAGATCGAAGCTTGTGGTTTTGGGTCAGGGTATGTAGATGATCCATTGCAGCTGATTGGGAGTGATGATTCAGGGATCGGTGATGATGAACCTAAGGTCAGATTTGCTTGTTGAATTATTTATTTGTATGGGTGTTTATATCATTGTTATATATGTGTGTAGGTGCATGTGCGGATGTTTGCAGAAAAATCAAGCTGTATAGCTGAGCTTGTGAATGACATAATAACAATTGCCAATGAAGATCCAGCTTGCATAATGGAGAAGGAGAGTATGAATAAACTCCAGGAGGCAGGAGAAAAACTGATTGCTTTTGCCAAAAAAAAGGATACAACACAACAACAGATGGAGAATGATGCAATCAGTGAAGAGCATGGTGGAAATGGTGTAGAGATTGATGATGATGTGTTCTGGAGTCACCCAACCACTCTTGCCATACTAGAAAAGGCTGAGAAAAATGGGGTGAAGGTAGGAATGACCAATAAGAATACATCACCATTACCATCATTCTCTATTGGACTGACACAACAAGAGAGAGATGCGGATGTGGAAAGACAACGCCCGAAAGAGATGGGAGGACCATTAAATACAAATAAAGAAGGCTTTGAAGATAGAGTGTGCACTGAAGAGGTAATCTTTGTTAGAAAATTCAAATTTTTTTTGGACATTGTTGGAGAAATGTAATAGTGTATATGATGTTTAATGTGGAGTTTCGTTTGTATTTTGGTAGGATGAAACTGAGGAAGTGCATATTGGTAAAGAGGAGGGTGCAGATAGATTAGCTCTGGTGGTGAGAGGAAATGTATGCAAAATAACTTAGTTATGTGTGCATTGGCGTATATGTTAAACGGCTAAGTATTATATATTGAAAACTGTGCAAAACATGTAATGTACAGGTGCAGAATAATGTAGACATTACAGCTACAAGGGAAAAGCGACAACAAAAAATGGCTGAGGCGTTAAAGTCACCATACTGGTTAAGAGCAATAGATCCTGTTCAAATGTGCACATCAATGGAGAAAAGCGTAATGGCATGGTTGCTGAACAGTGAGCAGTGTGGAAGGTGAATTGAAATTATTGATATTGAGAACAACCATTGAGAACATAATGTGCAGATATAATAAATATATTGTGTGTTTGTAGGGAGCAAATACTTTTTAAATATGAAGAATTTGAGGTTACAATGAAAGAGATGTGGTCGTTGCGTGAAAACCAACATATAAGCGCATATGTTTTGGATGCGTGGTCCACGATGCTTAATGCTAGGGAATGTTTGAGGAGCAGTGATTCACCATGCCAAATGTTTGCAAGAACTATTGATTGCGTATGTGATAGTGTAAACCAAAATTTGAAACTACTCATTTGAAGTGTGCTTTAAGTGTATGTTTCATGTGCAGGTGCATAGCTTTGTGGGTGAACCAACACCTAAGAAAGATAGACCTCATATATTCAATGCAGCTGTGGAGTTTGGTTTGGCAGCATTGTCGGCAGAAATAACCATAGACCATGTCGAGTTGGTAAGTGTGTATGATAATATGTGTTCATGCATGCATGTCATAGAAAATTAATTTGTTTTCTAAATTTGGATGCAGTTTTTCTTCCCGATTATGAAACCACGGCATTGCTATGTTATATGTTTCAACCTGATGACTCAACAGTGGGAAATTCTTGATGCATCAACGTCTACACTGAAGATTGTTGATAAGTACGGTCAAATGCCTGGCATTATGGTAAGAGCAATTGATTTATATATGTAAATAATATAAAAAGTGTGGGTGCCTTAATAGATACAAAAAATAATGATTTCTATTTTTGAATTAAACAGAAAGACATGTTTGTGCACTACATGACTGTCAACGGATTGGGTAAGAAGGTGAAGGGGCTGAAAAAAGCAAAAGTGAACAAAATTTTGATGAATTGGCGTCACGAAAACAATGAGTTCGAATACGGTGTGCTCACAATGAGGCTAATGGAGACATATATGGGCCAGGGCACTAAAGGTTGGGACATGGGAATGAAAAGGGGAGACAAGAAGATTATTAATGCATTAAGGGTTAAATATTGTGCCGCGATTCTTTCAGCGGAGTGCAATGAGATGAAGAAAAAGAATGAGGAAGAGGTTAAGGAGTATGCAAAAGTGAAGAAGCTCAACAAAGGGAAAACAAAGAAGTGAAGTGAGGTGTTTGAAAAACATTACTACATTTGATTGTGGAATTTCTTAATTCCAAGATTCGGGGTTTGTTTGTCATGTTTTATTTGAAGGTTAAAACGTTGTTATTTTGCATGGGTTTAATGACTGTTATTTTATTGAAATTACTAGGTGTTTTTGCATGGGTTTAATATCTTTGTTATTTTATTGAAATTATTAATGTTTGATAAATGGTGTGTTGATGGTGTGAGGTTCAAACTGAAATGAAAAGCATGATACACTCTAATCATAGTGAATAATAGAGTGTGCAATATTTAGCACGTGTAGTCCTACATGTTACCCAAAAGTGTGCATTGTTGAACATTTAAATGTGCCATAAAATGTAGAAATTTTTACAGTCAGGGTGATACCGTATTGAACATCAAAGTGTGCAAAATATAACAGTTTCATTGTGCAATAAATGTTTTTAAGATGTGAAAAAGAAAATCTAGAAACGTAATAACAAACAATGTAGGATTTTGAGTGGCTGTTGCACGTAATTGTACATTAGTGTGCAAAATATTACATGATTTGGTTATGATTTGGGGAAAAAATTGTGATGAGGAATGACGATGCATTCACTATATTTGTGCATTTATCAACATTAATATGTGCACAACGCATGTAGATATTGTATGCCTATTTAATTAAGTGTGGATCATGAAAGTTAGTCAATATTGAAGTGTGCCAAAAATTACAATATCATTGTACTGAGAATGATATATATGTGAGCAAAAACATGGTTGATTAAAAATTAATCAACTGGCACTAATAAAAGTGAAGTGTATTGGTGATGTTAAAGATTTTTCCATAAAATGTGCATAAAACTAGTAAAAATATAATGACTACAAGAAAAACGTAGTCTACACGTAAAGGCTAACAATAACAAAAATTACTAAAAAAGGCAACAAAAGACATTAAAGTAGAAGCGTGAAGTTTTACAAATAAATAATAAAGAAAAATAATTAACTAAAACATTTCAAGCAGATTTATTCATGGGGCAGTTGCGGCTATCATGGTGACACATCTCGTTACAAGTTCTACACAACCTTAACTTCTTCTTTGATTGTATTGCCACTTCTTTACCACCTTTTAATCGCTTCCCACAACCCTTGTTCCTAGCTTGTTGCGGCGGAAGTACCGTGACCTCTGAGGGAGCTGCTGAACCACAAAATTGCTGAATCACAGAAGTCTTCCTGGTTACGTGTGCACTTTCATTCTCTGATGAGAGCAGAATACTCTTCTGCTCCTTAATTACTTGTGCAAACTGTTCAAACAAAACCGGTTTATCCTCGATAAGAGCAACACAACAATGAATGTCAGACCATAATCGATTTACATGTAACTTTCTCTCCTCATTGGTCACGCATTGGTCAAATACGCTATTGCCAATATCGAACATGGGTTTAGTGATACTGTTTTTACACCAACGACTAAGAACAAATTCAGCATGAATGGTGTGCAACTTGAGGTCTTTAAAAACAACAAACATGTGTCTACAAACCAACCCAACTCGATCAAAGTCTTTGCAACTACATGTTGTAGTAGATGCGGTTAAAGAATGAACAACATTGAAAATCATACCGCGCTCATCATTAATAGCATATTCACGCACGCCATTGACTTCTTGGACGCTTAAAACCGAACATGAGAAACATGCTTAGCATATCTCCTTCTGAATTTCATAGAAAATTGAGACAGTGTATATAGATGATGCATGCTTTTCAATAGGTAGCGGTGTACTGTGGACAGGTGTGCAAGACTCAGAAACATGGTTCAATTTGGAATTCTTGTGTCGTTGAGCATCCATTGCACTTTCAAAGTGCATGAAAAACTCAATAAGGCTAAAGTTGGGGTTAGTAAACTCACCAAAAAAATTATTTTCACTTTCAGATCGCGATGTGGTCCTAAGTAAACCGGCCATGAATAAATCCCTAAAAAAACCCGGGATCCAATAGCGTCGAATGGAAAACATGTGAGATAACCATGTGTGGCTCACTAAATCATATTCCACAATGACTTGCATCCACTCCTTTTCAAAATCTTCAGGTGAAAGATAGTTACTCCAAACTACAGAATTTAGTTTGGACAAAAATTCTTCATTACTACTAAGAGTAGGACCAACCTTCTCGGTGAGTTTAGACATTATGTGCCACATGCAGTAACGGTGACGAGAATTGGGAAAAACTTTTTCAATTTCAATCTTCATACACGGGTCTTGATCAGTAACGATACACTTAGGTGCGTGTCCCATTGCATTTAGAAAACAACGGAACAACCAAACATATGATTCAACGTCTTCTTTAAATAGAAGACCGACACCAAATGTGACACATTTTTTGTGATTGTCGACACCGGTGAAAGGTGCAAAAACCATATTGTATCTGCAAAGAAAATTGCGTTAAGCTGATGTGCAAAGCTAAAATTTATTAAAGTACGTGTGCATAAAAGCACAAGTCGGTGTGCATAACATATTAAACGGATGAATAACATATTTTTGAAAATAAACGCCAATTAAAGAAGTAAATTAGTTGTGCACGAAATAGTGCTTACGAGCGCAGGCAGTTACATGTTTATAAAATAATCAAATGTTTGAAATTAAACATGTGTTTAATAATACTAATTAAACACAAACAAAGAAATGTGCAAAAATTAAATTACAAAAGTGCAGAACCTGTTAGTTCCATATGTAGCATCGAAAGAAAGCACATCTCCAAAAAAGGCGTAATTCTTTCTGCAGATTGGGTCAACCCAAAAAAGACGTGTCAATTGATCACTCTCATCAACGTCATACTCAAAAATATATGTTGAACAAGTTTCTTGCTTCCGAAAAAGCTTATCAATTAGCATTTGAGCATCCACGCCGGAAATATATGTCTTCAAATCTCGCTTAAAGTTCTTGAAATCAACCGCCGTTGCACCAATATTGCAATATCCTCCAACAGTTTCCTTGTACAGTCGGTATGATTTCATAGTTCCTATATTTGCCTTTGCACAATTGAGAACAAACTTCTGATGACCAAGATCAAGCTTCCTATTTACTTTAAGAAACGGTCTAGCATCAAAAGACGACATAGGATGATTGTGGCGCTCTTCAAATAACGTAATAACATATCCCTTAAGACCACCGAGTCTTAATCTTATGTGTGCTTTACAGCCAACACGGTTTGATACACGGCGACGCCTCTGTTTTTTTTCTCGGTGTTGGGAATAGCATGGGAGGATTCTGGTTGCTCTGGAAAAACGTGAGCCTCTGCATCATTATTTGAACATTCAGTGTGTTCATCACTAACAACACTAAAAGGCATAACATGACTAGTTTCTGGAGGATTCTATTGCACACAACATATTTCCACACAATGGTTTCCGTCCTCGGCCGGCGATCCTTAGTTTGAGAACCAATACGAGAATCGAAGCCACAACAAGCTGCATACTGCTTATAAAACTCAATACCATCCTCAAGGGTTTTGAATACCATGCCAAGCTTTGGTTTAAATGATTCATCACATTCCGGGATCCAATACTTAGTTGACCCAGGAGATATTTGTAAAGCTTCTACACGAGTGAAATAAAGATACAAAAACTTATTCAAGAAAGTAAAAAAACAAACGAAAAAAAAGATACGTAGAAGAAACGAAATAAGCTTAAAAACCAAACCTTTATCCATTAATGGAAGACACGGTCAGAAAGCTTCTACAGGAGTGAAATAAAGAAACATAAACAATGAAACTTATTCAAGAAAATAAAAAACAAACGAAACAAAAAGATACGTTGAACAAACGAAAAAAGGTTAAAAACCGAACCTTTATCCATTAATGGAGCTTCAGAGTTTTGGCGAGGAAGAAACAGTCAGAAAGTCGTGAAGGGGAAATTCACGTACATGGAGTGCCATCCGTAACTAAAAAGGAAAGAAATAAAAGGTTTATTTAATTGAAAAAAGAATATGGAAAGAAATATAGAAGGAAAGAGGGGTAGAGCTACGTAAGAAGAGCTACGCACAAGGGGAGAAATATCTAAATGACCATCTTGACCTGCGCACATACACGTGAGAAATCCAGAAAATTAGTTGATCTAATGGCCAGAATTGTTTCTTATTTATCTCATTAGATGGTGTTCTTATTTGAACCAAAACATATATATATATATATATATATATATATATATATATATATATATATATATATAAACACACACATTTAGCTATTTTAGGGACGCATGACCACATACTTGGGCTATAAAAATTGTTGGTCTAGAAAAGAGACTTATTGATATGGAAAAAATATAAAAATTTAACATGCATTATTTTTTAGCGGTCCGATCCGGTATTTTTCGGTTCTTAAAACCTAGGATCGGTCCCATACCCGTTTAAAACGGTACGGTTTCGGTACGGGATGAAAGTCTATAGAACTGTTTAAATACTCGGTATTCGGTTCGGTACCATTACGGGACGGTTCGGTACCGGTTCGGTTCGGGTTTTATGCCCACCCCTACGCTATACGGTTCTCTTCTTAATTAAATAAATAGAATTAGCCACTTGACATTTTTATAGCAAAAGAGTGAATTGTGAAGAAATGGGCACATAGGATTCATTAAGGGTAGAATTGTCTTTCAATGAACTATTTCTTTTCTTATATATAAATAGATAGATAAATAGAATTAGCCACGTGACATTTTTATAGCAAAAGAGTGAATTGTGGAGAAATGGACACATATGATTCATTAAGGTTAGAATTGTCTTTCAATGAAGTGTTTCTTTTCTTATATATAAATAGATGATAGAGTAATGAAAAGACTATAAGTTTCTCTTTCACAAGTAATCCGTATAAAATTCGAATGCCCGCAAATCGAAGTTGGGAAAAATATTTGCACACACTCTTATACTCACATTTATATCCACCATGTTTGTGAAAGACTTTTTTTGTCTTCTTTGAATCCCGTTCACGGACAAAATGTGTCTTATTTTGTCTGTTCAAATTTTACACAGACAAAATAAGACATATTTTGTTTTGTGGACTAGAGAATTCATAGATAAAAAAATGTTCACAAATATGATTAATATAAAGTGAGTAAAAAGGTGATAAAAGAACACTGATTCAAAATTTTTGTAGATAAACCTTTATCACAACAATCCAAGAATTCTAACGAGCATCTTTAAGAATAACTTATGCTTACTTAAGAATGACGTGATAATCCATATATGCTACGTAAGCAATGACGCAATCAGCAACTTACATTCATGAAGTACTTATATGCCAATGATTCAGAGGATTCTGCAAGGAAACAGAGACCATTCATGGCCGCCACTGTAACTCCAGCCACCGCAGCGCCGGCGCCTCTCAACGTCCGCCGCGTATTGTCAACCAATCTCATAATCAACCGACTTCATATGCTCCTCAATGGGATCGCTATAGTCTCCATTTTCTCCTACAGAATCACCACTCTTTCTGCCATTCTTGAAACAGGAGACGCACCTCTTGCACCTCATCTCATCGTCACCATCTCCGAAGTCATCCTAACTTTTCTCTGGATTCTGCACCAGGCTTCCCGGTGGCGGCCCGTCGAACACGCCGTGTTTCCGGAGAGGCTGACGGGAGACGAGCATCTCCCCTCCGTCGATGTATTTGTCTGCACGGCTGATCCCGGTAAAGAGCCGTCTCTGGGAGTCATGAACACTGTTATATCGGCTATGTCGCTAGACTACCCTCCTCATAAGCTCGCCGTTTATATTTCCGACGACGGCGGTTCTTTAATCACATTGAATGCCGTCCGTGAAGCGTGGAGATTCTCCAGGCTTTGGGTTCCTTTCTGCCGAAAATATGGACTGAATCTGAGGTGCCCGGAAGCTTATTTTGCTACTCAAGAGAAGTTCGAGTTTGATGCTGATAGAAAGATCCTCCAGGTTAGTTCTCACATCTTTAATGAAAACTAAGACTGAGTTTGGGCTTTTCTTTCTCCAAAAGTTGAGGAGTTTCTGCTTGCAGGAAAGGTATAGGGAATTCCAGGAAGCTTTGGAAAAGAATTCCATGAATGAGAGCAAATCTGTTAGCAGAGACCATCCGCCCACAATCGAGGTACGCAGGGAGAAAAATGACCGAGCCTTTCAAAGTTATAAGGCGTTTGATCAAAGCCAAATTACAAAAAACATGTCAAATGCTATCTAATCAATAATGTTGATCAAAGTAAATGTATCTCGATAACATTTAGTTGACTTATGAGTGACAAAAAAATGTCAATAAAAATAGGTCACCTAGCTAGAGTCCTAGACTAGTAAAAACCACAAAAAATATTTGTATCAGTTCTTATACCCATCACGTTTGTGAAAGACTTCTTTTGTCCGTGAATTCTGTTCATAGACAAAAATGTCGTATTTTGTCTTGCAAATTTTGCAAAGACAAAATAAAACATGTTTTGTCGGTGAACCGGATTCATAGACCAAAAAATTCTTCACAGACATGATGAGTATACGGTAGGTATAAACTGAGTATAAGGGTGGGTCCAACAAGAATGATCGAGCAAAAATGACATCTTGACATATTGTCAACCTTTAAAAAATGTCATCTCCTTTTTGCACACATAAAATAACCTGAATATGAGTATATTATATACGTAGAACTATACTACTTCGTACTACTTTGTTATACAAATGTGTTTATTGGTGATGTTGTGCCAAATTGTTATTGGCACGGATTTGGAAGTCAAATCCTTCATGAACTTTTGTGAATCTTTGTCAAAAATCTTTGTCAATTATTCCGTGTTTTTTTGTAGTGACAACATGCAATAAAATATAGATACTTTTATTGTGGCATTTTGTCTATGTTTGATGTTATATAAAGCATTTTCTAAATTAGTACTCTCTCCGTATTTAAAAAATCACTACATTAGATCTTTACATGATATTTAAGAGGGATATAATAAGGGTAGTGAATAGTGTAAAAAAATTGAGAGAAAGTGAAAAATATGAAAGTATAGATATAAAAGTATGAAAAGTAAAGATAGTTGATATTTTTAAAGAAAATCTTACTAAAAAGAGAAAATGTAACTAACTTTGAAATATACCCTAAATAGAAAAGTGTGATAAACTTTTAAATACGACTTGAGTATCCCAACTTAGAGTAAAACAATACAAAGTTACAAAAAAAGGTCAAAAATATGACAAAAAAATGTAAGTGGACAAAAATGCCATTTTAGTGTACAATTTACACCTCTCGACAGAATCACACCACCGGAGGCGGCGGCTGGCCGCCATTACCAGGCAGCCACCACTGCCACCACCGCTGCACCTCCATCACTCAACCACCACTTAACCCTAACTGGGATTGCTAAAATGGTGTAAAAAAAACCAGGATTGCTAAACCAAGAAAAGCTTATTCTCTACGGCTATACCCTAAGGGATCGGTCTTTCAGTTATGCTTGTTGAATTAGATATGTGTTAAATTGCACTCTTTATGGAGAGTTAATGGTTTGCTTCTTCTTAACAGATTAGAAGTGCGTGAAAATGCTTAGAACTGCAATGTCTATCTTTTGTCTGAGGCGTTATTGGTTAAATAACTTTGAATCTAACTATAAATGCACTTTCTCAGTTTCTTGGCCGTGTTTAATGTGAATTATGATTGTTAACAGGTGATGACCGATGATGAAAATAAGGATTCCGGCCTAAGAGAGATGCCTCTTCTTGTCTATGTGGCTCGGGAAAAAAGATCAGGCCATCCACACCATTTCAAAGGAGGAGCACTCAATGTTCTAGTAAATTTGCTTTCTGGGCTCCTCTACTTTCTTAGACATTTTTCCATTTTAATCTTTGATGTCAACGATCGTTGATTTTTCCACTTTTAGTCTTTGACTCTTATGACAAGGATAGCTTTGACATATTTTTTAATTGTTTCACTTCAGAAAATGTCATTGAATTTTGTGATGATATGTGAAAGACCGAAACTGTTATTATGCCAAAAGTTAGAGGTCCAAAAGTATAGCTGTCACAATAGTTAGAAGACTAGAAGTGGAGATTTTCAAAATGGGTAGCAAAATTAGCATTCACCCAATCATAAAAGGACTCAAAGTTGAAAAAAATCGATTTCTAGATGTTTGATTTTACAATAATTATTATTTATGGTTATTCCATTCACGAGTTACTTTAGTTCTCAATTTAAAAGTTCCGCAATCTATTTCAACTCATTGCTCATATATAATTAGTTGCACATTCTATTTTGCAGCTCAGAGTATCTGCAGTGATAAGCAATGCTCCATACTTTTTGGTCTTGGACTGTGATATGTACTGCCATGATCCTTCGTCTGCTCGTCAAGCTATGTGCTATTATCTTGATCCTAAACATTCTCCACATATAGCTTGGGTTCAATTCCCTCAGAAATTTCGCAATATGAGTGAACACGATATCTACGGTGGCCGATTAAACAACTTTTTGGTATCACCATCTTTTTTATACTTTGCTTCAATATGCAGCTAGATATATAATAGCCTCAACATTGTTTTTATATGTTTATATCAATTTTAGCTCATTTCCCAAAATACTCGATGTGCAGAGAGCAGCGTATGGTGTTGATGGTCTTAGAGGAACTAACCTAATGGGCTGCAATTTTTTCATGAAAAGGGAAGCAATCTATGGAACAAAGAACATTCAAAGGGGTAGGTTGGGTGATTGTATATATCCCCTCATAAGCTTCTGTGGTTACATATGTTGAATAATAAAGTACTATTGATATGACTTTGAGAATACAACTTCATAATTTTCAAAGGCTTTTATAATGCACATATAGAGAAATTAAGGGCCCAAACTATGTAGGAATAGGAAACCTAAACATTAAACTACTACAGATTATATCATACATTCGGGAGGATATTTTGCAATTCTTTTGATAATGCTCATTTTGCACTCAAAGAAGGTTTGTTTCTTTGTGTTGACGTTTTTTGCCCCGATCATTTTTTGATTCAATACAATCCTCATTTGAAAATAAATAAATCTCATTTGGATCTTGAAAATTGCTCAATTTGCTCATTTGGATCTTCAAAAATGCCGAATTTACTCATTTAGAAATACCATGCTTATGCTGCATCGAGTTGTATGATATCAGTTATATAGATACATATAAAGCGAAGAGAACTATATAGGAACTCTAATACTACCCAAACTATGAAACTATATATTATTTCTTTACTTTAACAACGTGTGTATACTTATGCAGTATAACTGGTAAAACAAAAATCATCCTTTCATCTTATTGTTTCTCCAGGCGCTACACTCGATCAACTGAAGAAGTTGTTTGGCTCGAGCAATGAGTTCATTAGAGCTTTTATGGACAAAGAAAGGTACAGACCAAAGATGCCTGAAGACAGAAAGCCATCTGATGCATTGCAGGACGAGCTCCAATTGCTAGCCTCATCTAGTTATGATGTTGGCACACAGTGGGGAAAAGTGGCAAGTCTCTTCACTCTGTTAGTATATATAAGGAAAGAAATCATGTGTCATACTTTGGTCGGTCATGTGTGTATATCATCTTATATACTACGTATATTTCATTAAGGACAGGTTGGCTACCGGTATTTTAGTGTGGTGGAGGATGCGATAACAAGCCTTGAGTTGCACTGCGACGGGTGGATTTCTGTGTATACCAACCCTGCCAACCCATGTTTCTTGGGCGCATCCACTAACAACTTGAACGATACTTTAGTTCAACAAACACGTTGGGCTTTTGGCCTAATGCAAATGGGTCTATCAAGGTTTACACCTCTTATATATGGTCCATTAAGAATGTCAATTCTTCAAAGCATGTGGTATGGTGCACTTGTACTTGACTCTCTCTCCACCATCCCCTTCTATGTATTATCCATAATTCCTCCCATCTGTCTACTTTACTGCATTCCTCTTTATCCCCAGGTCAGTAAGCAAAACAACACGCATCTTTAGGTCTAATTTGGATGGAGGAGTTTGGGGGCGGGGAGAGTCTTGAAGACCTTATTACTCTATGTCTTGATATATACAATATTTGACATTTTATAAAATTTGAAAGATCAAAATAACAGGTGATACACAACACTTCACTAACATTTATTCATTTTAGAAACATTCATCTTGAATGAAAACTACTACTTTTATTGATTATCACTTTCAACTTACACCTTCACAATTTCAAGAGATCATTAAGATGCTTATATAAATAGATGCTATAAGAAACTATAACACTACTAAAACAATAAAAACTGTGTTACTATTAATATATTGTAAAAATTATATTCATCAAGATATTGGTTAATCTCTCCAAATCCTTTCTTTCCAAACCCTCCGTCCAAATAGACCCTTTGTTTGTATTTATAAAAAGTGAAGTATGTCTATTGTTTGATATGTTCCTTACACTGGGGCTAAGTGACTCATTCAATTGACCAATGCTTCCCCTCTTCTTTGTCACCCTTTGTTTAAATGTTGGACTTTTTTTAATACTACCTTGTAGGTATCAGATCCATTTTTCTATGCGTTTGCATTTGCTTTCGTCTCATCACAAGTCAAGCATGTGCAAGAGGTCTTTTCCTTTGGAGATCATTCATTCATGAATGCACTCTATGAATTAAGGGTGTGGATGATGAAGTTGGGAACATGCTACTTTTATGCGCTTATCAATTCTATTTTGAATAAACTTGGTTTGCATGAAGCGAATTTCAATCTAACAAACAAGGTGGTTGATGATGAAAATGTCATGCTTTATGAGAGGGGAATATATGATTTCCGTACATTGCCCATGTTGCTTGTTCCATTGTGCAGCATTTATATTTTAAATCTGGCTTGTTTTATCATTGGAGTGACAAGGATCTATGGAAAGGGTGATGAATTGCTTGCCCAAGCTGCTCTCTCTTTCTTTGGGCTAGTTGTGAACTACCATTTGCTTGATGGTATGTTCTTGAGAAAGGACAATGGCCGCATCTCACCATATGTCTTTCAACTTGCTCTTGTAACATCTGGAGTTATCTTCGGATGTGTATCAGTTTTTCTTCTCCATTGATTGAAAATATACGTTTGCCTAAAGATTATCAATGCTTTGGTATATCGAAGCAGTCAATATGTAATTCTAAATTCTTCTTATACGAAACTAATCCTTCAATTTTCTCTACTCTAATTACTATGATGAAGTTGAGACCTCTTCATTTGGACCGAAACTCACTGGTCTTTGTTAGTTTAGTTTGATATTATGTGCATGTTACTCTACTTTCATCTCATGATGATTCAGACATGAAAAAGTGACACAATTATAAGTGACACAATTATTTAAAATAAGCGAGTTTATGTGATTGATATTATATTTCTAAAGTAAGAACGAATCAAAACTCATACTTATATTATTACTCTTTTCATCCCACCAAATTTCCTTATTTAGTCATCTAAAAAACTTTATCAATTCCTTTTAAAGTAACAAATTTATTGTTAATGTTCTTTCTCTTTCCTCAACACAATTCTCAACCATGTCGTTTTTATTTTCTGATTACACATGCAAATCAAGTTTGATATAATTTTAATTATTGGACGGGAGTATTGAATAGGGTATGAAACGATTTAGTGGACAGATGAAAAAAATGTGAGACAAAGATGGATGTGTGGAGGGATTATCATCTAAGGCTCGGTTTGCCTGATCTAAAGAAGCTGAAGTAAATAGGCACTTTATATTAAAAGATTGAATACTTAAATTTTTGTGCCCTGTTACTTGGTATTACTAATTACTTCCTTAGTTCCTTTGTCTCGAATAGAATTGAAATTTCCCAATTTTAAGGTTGAATGTTTATAAAATTAAATCATTCATTGAATAATTAAATCGATTTGAATCATTAAAATTTACATATTGAGAAACTACAATATAGTTTTATAAAATCGCAAAGTCTGAATTAGAATACAATAAAAATTAATATGTTAAATAAGTAAATAATGTGAAACTATGTTGACCAACTAAAGTTAACTTTGTAAATTATTCTGTGATGAATGAAACTAGTATTATACCCATGCGATGCACGGGAAAATACATTTCTCATATAAAAAAGTAGGGTTTTAATACTCCTTCTATTCTTTATTAAGTGTCTCGCATTCCTTTTGGGAACGTTTTTAATTATTTGTCCATCTTTCCCTTTTTTGGTAAGTTTTTTAATCAAAATACCTTTATACTCCCACTTTTATTACTATTACCCGTTTCTCTTTCCTACTTTTTCATTACCCACAACCCACTACACCTTTTACACTACCCCTATTATTTTCCTCTTAAAACCCGTGTCAAAGCCTAAGAGGACTCACATTTAAGAACGGAGGGTGTAATACAAACAATATATACGGAGTATATAGTTTAATAACTTCACATAGATGAATTTAATTGTCGTAATGTAATAACATGAACTGTAAATATAAACGATAGGAAAAAAACTAAGAAACCAAAAATTTCCATAATAAAACTATATTAAAAGGTGAAAGTTATAAGTGTTTTAGAATTGGGGTTTCTCCCTGAATATTATTAAACAAAAGCTAATTTACAACAAAGTGATCGCATTTACATATGGACAAAAACGTGACCAAGATGTTTTATTCATGTCACTGCACCAATTTCATGTCGTTGTCAGATGTCACTGCCGCCATCATCTGTGTCACTGCCCCCCTTCCCCCCGATCAGTGCCACCAGCCACAGTGCATCTCCATCGCCGGTGTCATTGACGTTGTCGTTTGGTGTCAATGTGATCGCCATAGTGACAGGCCACGCCACCTCCGATCACACTAACATGCCGCCTTCGATCACAGTGACACGCCATGCCACCGCCGGCCACAATGGCACCTACACGGTGGCACCTCCACCGCCAATGTCACTGTCGTTGTCGCATGTGTCACTGTGATCGCCACAACGACACGCCATGCCACCTCCGGCCATAGTGACACATCACCTCAGGTCACAGTGACATGCCGAGTCCGGCCACGATGACACCCCCCGCCACCCTCATCCTACTGCCACCACCATTATCGCATACCCTTATTTTATCTATTATGTCACATAATATAATTTTTTCTTTATGTAATTAATAAAATATATTTTAAATATAATTTTTCATAAATCAGCAGTATTAGCCAATCCAGCCACTTCAATCAGAGGTTCATAAATTTCAGCAAAATCAACCAATACAGCCGATTTGGGTAGTACCAAACGGGCTCTATGCCAGTCCAAAAGTATACCATGTTGGTTAAAAAATTTAAAAATGTGTCGTAGTTCATAAGTATGGTTAACGTCATTTATCAATGCTACACAGAATGATAAGCTCACTCTACCAGTAAGAGAGTTGATGATAAATATTTGAAAGTAGTTAAAAATGATCTGAAAATAGCATTGAAAGCATAAATATCCTCTAATTTCTCTGTTACGCATTTTGAATTGTTAGGAAGTCAATAAGTACATTCACCTGTACATTATTTATATTTTAGTTTTAAACTTTTTATATTTTGCTAGATCAGTTCTGTTTTACTACATGAACCATGTGGTTGTATACTTCATCCAAGTTATTAGTTTGAATTAGTGTTTTTTCAATTAAAATTTGTTGAAGTGCAGTTTTTATTTTTCAAATATCTCAAAGTGCATATCGAATATCAAATGCAACAAAATGGTGTAAATTTAGAACAATGCCAAATACAATAAAATGCCTTGTAATGTAAGGAGTAATTAAAAACGATCAAAATGGAAATAGCTGGAAATTTCTAGCAATAATTTCCTTAGGCTGGCCTAACAATCGGCCGACCCAAAATAGCAGCCCAGATAACGCGTACCGACTCTGGTCGCTTCAATAACGGCACCGACCACAGTTCACACTCCCGGTCATCAGAAAATCCTCCCGGCCAAACAGCCTCCCCCGCTTCCTTCCACTTTGCACGCCACCACTTCTTCCAACCCCTTTATGACCCAATATCCACCTTTTCGTATCTCTCGTCACTGCATTAAACCTCCAAAGCATCCAGGTCAAGAATTATGAAGGACCGATTTGATTTCATCTTCCAATCATCTCAAGTCTTCATTTTGAAGCTAAGTTCTCTAGATCTTTCATTTTGTTGGATTTCACTGGTTTTTGTATACGTATTTGAAGTCATCACTCTTAATATCTTATTCACACAAAAATTGACTATTCATGACAGTTTGGAACACTCTTTTCAAATACTATGTGTAGATGATATTTATTCATAAGGTAATTTATTTGATTGAATACTTAAATTAATACAAAGTTGAAGTTATCAATCCTATTATTATTCATGTAAAATAATACATATTTAGGTTTGAATGCATCTACCTAGTCATTTTAATTGGTCAGATCAAACTGCATTGGTGTTCAAAGTGGGCTTCGTTTTGGTTTTGTTTTACATTTCAAAGCTCTTTAATTTTATTAAATATTGAACACTCGAGTTCCACCTAACATCTAGATATAAACAATTTAATATACTTCACAAAAATTCAGTTTAATTACTTTTCTAATTTTGTTTTTAATCATAGGACGAAGAAATGAAAGCTCATTTATAATTGCATTTGCTGCTATTTTATATACTCCCTCCGTCCCGGAAAATTAGTCCCACTTTGACTTGGATCGGAGTTTAAGAAAGTGGGAATAAAGTGAAAATGTATGGTTGTGGTTGAGTAAGAAAAAGGTAAATGAATGTTAGTCACACAAAACTTTCCAAAAATGGAAATGGGAACAATTTTTTGGGACGGCCCAAAAAGGAAAATGAGACTTATTTTATGGGACGGAGGGAGTAATAAAAAAGAGGTTCTCAGAATGAGAGATTATTAGTACCCTTGGATCAAATAAGATATTTTAATTCACATGATATCCAATAATCTCAGCTGCACTGCTGCACCTGCTTAACAAAACCTCACCATACACGCTTTGAGTACTATTTAATCATTGAGTAAATATAAAAAGCTTACTTAAGTGTTTTAAAGTTGACCAATTCTATGCTATACTTTTTTCCAACTTCTTAATTTCTTATAGTCTTTATTTAAAATGGTTGCTTTAGTTCATACACTTCTTTATTTTGACTTTCAAAGCTAATTCACTTGACATTCATTATTCCTAGTTGCCCCAACTTCATGAAAATAACTCTAAAGTTTAAACATTAATGTAGAATTCAGAAATTAAGTTGTAGCTGCCTAAACAATCCCCAGCTAACAACTTAGTCCTCAACATCAATTTGTAAGATGTAGAACATTCAATGTTTGGGGCTCTATGTATAACAGTGTGTAGTTAGACACCAAAATGGAATTTCAAATGTATATATACCGGTATTTCCCTTTGCCAAAAGTTGTGTAACAGTCATCTTTGTATAAGTCAAATGATCATCCTCCACGTGCAAGGTGCTTCATTATATTACTAATTTATTTGAATAAAATTAGTTCTTACAATCAACTACTCACATCAACCCTGAAAATACCTAGATTCGATGAAAAATCTTTTTTATATTCTAAATAAATACAAATTTTTGAATACCATTGTTGGACAAAGCATGCATTTTCAACAAATAAACATGTTTTAGAAATTAAAGTTTTTATGGAAAGAAATATTGAGACTTTAAAGTGAGGTTATTAAATTATTAAGTTATTTTATGTAAAGATACTATACAGAGTCATATACTTCGTAGACATTTACTATTTTTTTAATAATTATAATCACCTTCTTCGGAGTGCAGTTTGAACAAATTTAATTATACATTAGATTGTTAAAGAAAATAAACACGGTTTTCACTATGGGTCATCCGTAAACCATCTCTCTATATTTTAGTTCATGGATAAGGTTGTGACGTTGTGTACATCCGACCCCAGTACCCCACTGGAAGCCTTTGTGGCACTGATGTAATGATGATATTTAGATTGTTAAAAATTGAAAATATTTGCCAATAGTTTCTAATGTACACATATAAGGTCAGAAATATTAACAATAAAAAATTTAATATCAAAAGTTGTAGAAACTAAGAAGAATATTACCTCCGGGACACTACTGCCTACGGGTCATAGTTTATCAGGTGACCTTAGATGGCTGAAGAACTTGCATAATACTACGTATAATTTTATCCAGTACTCGAGTATCAAAAACCATCTTAAGTTCTTTAAATTGCAATGAACTAAAATACGGAGTAGGTGCTAAGATTGCTTTGGACAAATTTTATTACAAAGCATAATATAATATATAATATGTTTAAAATAATCAAAAGAGGGCACTCAATAATCGATATTGTGATTTTCTCTCCCTAACTAATGCCTTTTTCTCAACATATATGTCTTGATGATGACACATCCGGTCGTTACTTCTTCAATATATAGGTGTGGGTATATCAATGATCAGAGAGACAACAGAGGTCTACTATTGGAATTTTAAAAGGCACTATAATAAATAAAGATTGTATACATATGGGAATTCCAAAAGTTTCTTCGAGCTTAGCTTGCATTTAATACCGCAGTTTTTCGTAAAGGACTCCTCATATCCCTGCCAAACATTATAGCAGCACACAATTTGAATTTTGAATGCAAAATGCCGCCCAAATTCCCTCTCAAACTCTCCCCCACACTTTTCCGTTTTTATATATAATATAGATGTGAAAAGGAAAAATAAATTGCAGCTATTATTCCTATGTATATCATTCGGATTCAAGGATATTAGCATGAAAGCAAATGATACGAAGAATATTTTTAGGGACTTGCTTTTGTTAAAAAGTGAGGATATTTACTGCAGGCATATCATTGAGACACTAAATATCATCGGTAATGTGGCCAAATTATTTAAAGTCGTTGCTTTCTTTTTTTGAACAATCTCACCATTCACTTATTAGCTGCCCAGTGTTGTTGTTTTAGCCTTAAAGATTTTGTAATTTAGTTAAATATGCATCTTGGTTTTTCTCGATTCAGTTTTTTCTCTAAACTATGTTACATTCTTAAAAGAAATAAGAGACATTTATTTCACATTTAGATTCCAGTAAAGTGGTTTCAATTGTAAGCATTTCCATTTGGGTGAAATATGCACAAAGTGAATGGCTTAAACAAAAAGTAGTACGAAACGTGAAAAGACCATAAATTCCAATAATTAATTTACTCTGTATATTTTTTCGTTGAATAACTCATAACAATATCTTACACATGCACACGGTAAATAAAAGCATATATATAAACTCAGACACTCATTGAATTTACTTATTTATACAAATTTATGTAAGGATATGAGCAAATTTGTACAAATGGATCTATTGCAAACTCTTGTTCAATACAACTGTTTTAATGGAAACTACTACGTATTTCAATTAGTTCTTCAGCTTTTTCACGACATTCATTCATATATGGAATATACGTAGTATTTATTTACAGAACTACGCATGCACCGTTATGGAATAGTACATCTCCATCGTCATGGAACACCAAGTTAGAGACCATTTGCATGAGCTAGACTGCTTTAACGTGTCGTCGTCAATATATATGATCGATGCATCTCCTGCCTTTGCATGTTGTCTGCTATTCCAGAACTACGGTACAAATGCCTTGCAAATTTTAGGCATCCAATAAACTCCTAATCACCGGCGGCTATAGGCCCGGCAACGAATTGAAATGGTTGCATACACCTATATATACATCCACACGTTTGAATTGAGTATTATTAAAATATTTATTATGGAGTAATATGCAGTCGGCCCTATAATGTTAAATGATGCACTCCATTGAGAAATGAGAAAGGTTGCTTTTTGCCACTTTCATATTTCAACATTTATTTCAATGTTGGACTGTTGGAGCGGAATTATCAAAGGGCATATGAATGGATTTATTAAAAAGAAAAAGTAAAAGATGGTTAAAGTTGTGTAAGGAAACGTTCCTAGGATAGTATATGTTGGGAATAGCAAAAGACAATTTTCCCTTAGCATTACATGCCAACTATTGGTCTTCCAATATTGGTTTTTCCTTCGGTGCCCATTTTTTTTTAAATATGTATACCAGTAATTTTTACATTAATTATACATCCAAAGTGCTACAGTGTTCCCGCCCAAAGTCCCTCCTCACTTTTCTGTTTATATATATATATATATAGATATTAAATAATAAACGTGAATAATGTGTCTTCTTTTTATTTATCATTGTCATTTGTGGTTATTTATTTATTAATATTATTTATTTATTCATATATCTATTGATTATCAATCCACCCACTCACTAATCTTGGTAATTGATGTGAAAAAATGGATGAAAGAGATCAAATTTTAAGTTGAAAACGCTATGACATTTGAATAATTATGAAGAACCTTTAAATGCATAGGTAAAGAAAAAGATGTAATTTCATTAACAACAGAATTTCAGAGACGTACAAGAAATGTCTAATCATTAACATAGGCTTATGTTGAAATTACACGAGCGAACGTATAGACAATTCTCTATATCTGGTAAAGGCACAAACTGCATACATTTATTGTTTGTGTAAATATAAGATCGACACAGTTTGCTTGTGATGACCCCGACTTGACCTGATGTGTAGAAACGGTATGTATGTGTGTACAAATATCATTTTCCTTGTCAAGGAAAACTTGTAAACAATGACAGATATAATTTTGTGGATCTCAATCAAAATTGATTAAACAACCCAACAATTTGGACAAAATGGTCATTCACAATGGTTCCGAAATTCTAGCCTAGAGGCACCTCCCTTTGTTAATTACTTCATTGCAGAACTATTTTTATCAGAAAAACTTGGTGTACACCATTTTGTGTACACCATTCACACACATTACGTTCTACGCAGGCAGAGTTGTTTGTATACACACAAAATGGTGTACACCAAGCATTTTTCATTTTTTATTGCAATTCAGATATTATGATTTTGTTAGTCTCAACTAGATGACCAATAATATAACAATTCACATACTATGATTTTAAAATTTCAATTGCAACAATATCAGTTTGATGTACATAATCGTCTATCATTAAAGAACATGTTTACCAGTTTTAGACTCAATAAGAACTACTAAGCAAGCATTCTCGGTGATGAAGATAGATTTTCAAGATAATACTTTGGAACGGGATGAAGGATTCATTCCTTAAGAGAATTCCATGATTACTTAAACTTATAAAGAAATTACTTAAAATTAATGATGGTTTTTTATGGAGAGACTCACAAAACTTCAAAAATTATGAGTATCTAATGCTATTGTTCTACTACGGTACTACATTATTTTGTAATGTAGTTTGTATTTGTAAGCCCCTTCATATGACCGCTACATGGAAAAACATTTTTTAGAATTAAATTAGAGGTGACATTTGTGCGAGGTGGTTGGGGCTGCGAGAAAGACATCCATGTTTTGTTTATAATTTTTATGTGATTTATCTACATTTTATTTATTCTAAAGTTCTTTTGTTGTTTTTTTAACTTTTATTATTTCTGTTTTTTTTTTAATTTTTTTGGTTTTACTATTTACAACTATATTATAAATGAAATTATTTTTTATTTTTTTATGTTTTTATTAGAAACTAAAATATATTTTTCTATTAAGTTATGACAAGGGTAGAATACGAAGATATAGTATACTACTTCCGTCCCGAAAAAAATGTTCCATTTCAAAAAAATTGGACAATGATTTTGATTAGCATGATATTATGAAAGTTATAAATTTTATACTTTTATGAAAATACTTTTAACAAAGAACATTGTCATATAGTTTTCATATTATAATAATTTTCAATAAAAACATCTAATTGGTCAAAATTTGGAAGATAAACAACATGATCATATTTGTGCACTCACGATCAATCTTATCGTATTATAAATAATTTCCAATAAAAAAGATATAATTGATCGGAAATGAAAAAGTTTTTTTAGAAGATAAACAGTATGCTAAGATTAATCTTATCTAGGTGTATTTTACACTTTTCTCTCCACAGGTATGCTTACTTAAGCACTGACGTGATAATCCATGAATGCTAGCTAAGCAATGATGTAATCAGCAACATACGTACATTGCTTGATATGCCAACCCCTCCCCTGCCTTTAACCATAATTCAGCGGAATTCTTTCACTGGATTGAGCAAGGAAACAGAGTCCATTCATGGCTGCCACTGTGAATCCGAGCGCGGAAGGGGCGCCTCTCAACACCCGTTTCGTGTTGTCAACCAATCTCATAATCAACAGACTTCATATGCTCCTCAACGGGATAGCTATAGTCTCCATTTTCTCCTACAGATTCACCACTCTTTCTGCCATTCTTGAAACAGGGGAAATACCTCTCGTGCCTCATCTCATCGTCACTATCTCCGAAGTAATCCTCACGTTTCTCTGGATTCTGCACCAGGCTTCCCGGTGGCGGCCCGTCAAGCACGCCGTGTTTCCGGAGAGGTTGCCGGGAGACGAGCATCTCCCCGCCGTCGACGTGTTTGTCTGCACCGCTGATCCTGGTAAAGAACCCTCTCTAGGAGTCATGAACACTGTTATATCAGCTATGTCTCTAGACTACCCTTCTCATAAGCTCGCTGTTTATATATCCGACGATGGCGGTTCTTACATCACATTGGAAGCCGTTCGTGAAGCCTGGAAATTTTCCAGGTTTTGGGTTCCTTTCTGTCGAAAATATGAACTGAAAGTCAGGTGCCCAGAAGCTTATTTTGCTACTCAAGAAAGTGCTCATGAGAGATTCATTGGCAGCACTGAGTTTGTTGCTGATAGAAAGATCCTCCAGGTTATCACTGTTTTTTGATTTTTTTAAATGAAAACTAAGATGAAGCTGTGGTCTGTTTTCTTAAAATATCGAAAATATTAGGTTTCTTCCTTTCTTTCTCCAAAAGTTGTGGACTTTCTGAGTTTTTGGTGCAGGAAAGATATGCCGAATTCCAGGAAGCTTTGGAAAGTAATTTGGGGAACGCGAGCAAATCTGTTAGCAGAGATCATCCGCCTACCATAGAGGTACACTGCACACAAACCGTTGGGTTGACATCGAAATTATGTTTTCTGCTGCATAAAAACACTTCAGTAGGATAGTAAGTAAATAGCTTCTGAGAGTCCTACATTAATAAATTTAAAGAGAGAATGATGTAGATCTTTTGTTGAGGACGTCTGCTTAATGCTGAACTCTATCATGGTATTAGAGCAGGTCATGGCCCACTTTGTTAACTCACTCCTAAGTTTTATGATGGAGTATGATATTAGGGAAGGTTTTAGCGCACTTTGTTTGTCAACCTGGATGTTCATCCAGCCCCAACAGCCCATGATCCTTAGGTTGAACTAACTCTAACATATTCAACTTAATCCGCGTTAATCTCAATCCTATGCTGAAGTTACTTTAAGGGCACTTATTTCGGGTGTTCTTGATTATTAGCTTATGCTGGTCTCAGTTGTAACCATTTTGGTAATGTATTTGCTCCAAGTTGTATTTATACATATTAAATTGTAATGGGCATTGCTGAATAATATTTATTTCTTGAAAAGATCCTTTAGGTCTGCTTTTGGTTATTGGATCTAATTTATTCAGAATATAGCGTAATGGTAATTGTTGATCATCAGTCATTCTTTCTATCTGTAGAATTGGAACCTAGAAATGCTGATTTCTTGTGCCTTTTGTATTAGGAATCTTTAATTCAATTGTATGTATTTAATTAATCTGCACAGAATTTACTCAATGAAGGATTAGTTGTTTGTTCTTCACAAAATAGAAGTGTAAATGCTTCATAATTGCTTTGGTTTGTATATCATAGGATTTATTGGTTAAGTACCTTTAAATCTAACTGCAATTGCATTTTCTTAGCCGTGTTCTGTTTCTTATAGCCCATGAGTTTCCTGTGACTAAATTTCCCTGCCTTGTTCTTCAATCTGATTACTGCTGGTTTTTGTTTCAATATTGGGATTGATTTTGTCCTTCACTATGAGCGTTCAGGTAATGACCGATGAAAATAATGATTTCAGCCTAAGAAAGATGCCACTTCTTGTCTACATTGCTCGGGAAAAAAGACCACGCCATCCACACCATTTCAAAGGAGGAGCACTCAATGTTCTGGTAATCTTACTTTCTTGACGCCTCTGCTTTCTAAAGATTTTTTCCTATTTATCTCTAATTATTTCCTCAATGATGCCTTTGCCGCTTGTCTTTGATATTTCCACTTTTAGTTCTTTCACTATTGTGAGAGCTATACTTTTCACACATTTTTTGTTTTCTTACCGCTAGTACATGTCTTTGATTTTCGAAGTAGAATTTTTCAAAGCCAGTAGCAAAAATGTTATCCACAGAATCAGAGGCGGACCCACTAAGGGTCCCACAGGGTCTCGGGACCCCGTCCACCTCGAAAAAAATACCTATATATATATTATATATACATTATATAAAATTAATCATTTAATGTATATTAACACAAAAAATGACCCTAGAAGCGAAAGAACGAATCAGTCCAGTGGTGATGGGTACTTATTCCAAATATGAGGTTGTGGGTTCGAAACCTGACCTTTTCCTTTTATTCCTTTTTCAGTGCTGGGATTAAACAATGTATACGAATTTCCAACAAAAACTTCAACTTGGTTCATTTAGCTCATTGGTTGAGTATGTCTTTCTTTGTCCCAATAATAACTAGAGTTCGAATCCCAACTCCATTTTTCTTAAATTTTGCTACTTTTCTCTAATTTACTCTTATTTTCTTTGAAGGAAATTTCACTTTTATTATCCTCTAATTTGAACTTTTATTTTCTTCATTTCTTCACGCTAAATGTATCCAAATAACATCAAATGTACCAAGAAATACAAAATACACGCATAAGACTGCACTAATACAAATTAATGACAAATAATAAAAATATGTACAAAAGTACAACTTTAATAACTAAAATTATCAACAAACTTGGCCTAAAAAGTGTGTAAAATATAAGCACATCAGTCGCCCAGTTTTTTTTCTCCGTTGTTTTTCTTTGCATATCTTTTTTTAATGTTAGATTAAATTAATAAATTCATGTTCTTATAAATGTTATTTTCAATTTTATACTCCCTCCGTTCTTATTATAACTTCCAAATAGGTTTGGCACACAGTTTAAGATAACGGGTATTGGGTATGTTTGGCAAATGGCTTATCAGCCAGCTTATAGCTTGTTTGACCCATTTCAACTGTTTGATTAGTCAAAGAAGCTAATAATAATGTTTGGTAAATGGCTTTTAAAATTAGCTTGTTGATTTTGAAAAGCTGAAAAAATGGATTGTGGAAGAAGCTAAGGGGAGCAGCTTCTTCATTTGGCTGGTTCAATTTACACTCTATCAGTCATTTCGAAAGAGCCAATTTTACCAAACAGTTATTTATAATCAGCCAACATAACCAGTCGGTCAAAACAGCTAACACAACCAACTGTTGCGAAACAGCTAACACAACCAGCTACCAGCAACAGCTAACAACCATTTACCAAACAAGGCCATTGTGTGATGGAGAGTTGTGCAAAGGAGAGAGAAAGTGGACGAAAAAGGAAAGTTGAAAGTTATAATAGGAACGAAGGGAGTACGATTTAGGATGAAAAGATATTTTGATGTTGTACCCAAATTTAAAGAAACCTAGAGTACCGGGAATAGTTCAGGTGTTAATTCAAATGATTCGTCATTAGTAAATGAAGAATTGGATCAAATTTTTATTAGTTTTATACTTGTATTAAATAGAGATTAGAGATATAAAAGGGTAGGGACCCCGTGGCTCCGGGTCCTCCACTGCACAGAATAGTCAAGGGACTCAGAGTTGGAAAAAACTGGCCTTCTATATGTTTTATATTACGGAAGTTATTATTTCTGGTTATGCAATGCATGACTTTCTTCAGTTCTCGATTTTAGAGCTCCATAATTTATTTCAACTCATCGCTCATATAAAATCAGCTGTGAATTCTAATATGCAGCTCAGAGTATCTGCAGTGATAAGCAATGCTCCATACTTTTTGGTCTTGGACTGTGACATGTACTGCCACGATCCTTCTTCTGCTCGCCAAGCTATGTGCTTCTATCTTGATCCTATAATATCTCCAAAGCTAGGTTGGGTTCAGTTCCCTCAGAAATTCCGTAATACAAGTGAACGTGATATCTATGCTGCACGGCTAAACCACCTTTTGGTATCACTGTCTTTCTAGTACTTTTCTTCAATATGTAGTTAAAGAATATCCACAATATTGTTTTGTTCCTGCTTGTATCAATTTAGTTCATTGCCCAAATGATTTTAATGTGCAGAGAGCAGGGTATGGTTTTGATGGTCTTAGAGGAACTAACATAAAGGGCTGCAATTTTTTCATGAAAAGGGAAGCAGTCTATGGAACTAAGAACATTCAAAGGGGTAGGGTAGCTGATTGTATATATCCACATAAGCCTATGTAGTTACATACTTTGAGTAATAAAGTACTATTGCTATGACTTTGAAGTATGAACATACAAGTTCATAATTCCTAAAGACTATTACAATGCTTATAATCTTATATAGATATACTATGGACCTAATTGCTGTAGGAATAGAAAACCTAAACTTAAACCAAATTATGTCATACTCCCAGGTGGGTATTTATGTAATTCTTTTGATATTTACTCATTTTTGCATTTGAGGAAAGACTTGTTTCTTTGTACTGATGCTCCTTTTGTTCCGCTCATTTTGATTCTATGTAATGCTCATTTGAATATAAATAAAACTCAATTTGCTTCTTGAAAAATGCTCATTTAGCTTATTTTATGTACCGTGCTTATGCCACATTCGGGTGTACAATATAGGTTCTCTAAAGCCCAAAGGAATAGAAAACTATAAATACTACTGAAACTATAAAAGTTTTATTATTATTTATATACATAAACAACATTTGTATTACACTATTACTTATGTAGTATAACTGGTGAAATGAAAAATATCCTTCGTTCTTATTGTCTGTCCAGAAGCTGATGTCAACCAGCTGAAGATGTTGTTTGGCTCGAGCAATGAGTTCATTGAAGCTTTTATGTACAAAAAAAGTTACATGCCAAAGTTGCCTGAAGACAGAAAGCCCTTTGATGCATTGCAGAAGGAGCTTGAATTGCTAGCCTCATCTACTTATGATGTTGGCACACAATGGGGAAAAGAGGCAAGTCTCTAAACACTGTTGGTAGAAATATATGGAAAGAATTCAGTTGTCATACTATGGTCGATTGGTTGGTCATGTATGTATATCTTCTTATTTATATTTTATCAAGTGCCAGGTGGGCTACCGATATTTTAGTGTTGTGGAGGATGGGATAACAAGCCTTGAATTGCACTGTGATGGGTGGATTTCTGTGTTAATCAACCCTTCCAGACCATGTTTCTTGGGTGCAGCCACTACCAACTTAAATGACTTGTTAGTTCAACAGGCTCGTTGGGCTTTTGGACTGATGCAAATGGGTCTGTCAAGGTTTATGCCTCTTATATATGGTCCAATGAGAATGTCAATTCTTCAAAGCATGTGTTATGGTGCACTTGTACTTGACTCTCTTTCCACCATCCCCTTCTATGGGTTATCCATAATTTCTCCAATTTGTCTACTTTATGGCATTCCTCTGTATCCCCAGGTGAGCAAGCAAAACACAGGCTTCTTTAGGGCTTGTTTGGATGGAGGGGTTTGGAGGGGAAAGGTTCTGAGAGATTAGTCTAATCTTGAAATATATATTTGACCTTTTAAAAAATTGAAAAGATTAACATAATAGGCGAATCATAACTTCTTGATCACAGTTTATTTGTTTTTAGAAACACTCCTGTTAAATAAAAACTACTGCTTTTATTGATTAATACTTTCAATTTACAACTTCATAATTTTGAGAGACCATTACGATGCCTATTTAGAGAAATGATAAACCTAAATCGTGTAGCAATAGGAAAACAAAACCTAATAGAAACAGGATGCTATAATACTAATAAAATAATGACAACTATTTTACAATTTCTGTACTGTAAAAAATATACTTATGAAGATATAATAAAAATATTATAGAACCCCTCCAAACCCTTTCCAAACCTCCCATCCAAACAGATGCTTAGGTTCTGTATAAAACAAATGAAGCATGACTATGATTTGATCTCTTGCCTACACTTATTAATTAGCTCATCCAATTGAACCGCGCTTCATTTTCTTTGGCACTCTTCGTTTTAATATTGTTTTTTTCGGTAATACTACCCTGTAGGTATCAGATCCATTTTTCTTTGCGTTTGCATATGCTTTCATGTCATCACAACTCAAGCATGTGCAAGAGGTCTTTTCCCTTGGTGATCATTCATTCATGAATGCACTCTATGAACTAAGGGCTTGGATGATGAAGTTAGGATCATGTTACTTTTATGCGCTTATCAATTCTGTTTTGAATAAACTTGGTTTGCATGAGGCAGATTTCAATCTAACAAAAAAGGTGGTCAATGATGAACAAGCCATGCTTTATGAGAGGGGCATATATGATTTCCGAGCATCGCCCATGTTGCTCGTTCCAATGTGCAGCATCTATATTCTAAATCTTGTTTGTTTTGTCATTGGAATGTCAAGGATGTATGGCAAGAGTGGAAAGTTGTTTGCCCAAGCTACTCTCTCATTCTTTGGGATAGTGGTCAACTACCACATGTTTGAAGGTATGTTCTTGAGGAAGGACAATGGTCGCATCTCACTATATGTCTCTCAGCTCGCTCTTACGGCATCTGGAGTTATCTTGGGATGTGGGTCAATTCTTGTTCAATACTGATTTGAAAATGTACTTATGCCCAATTGTAGTGAGTGTTTTCTGGTATGTTGAAGAAGTAGAACTGCAAATCCAGATTGTTCTAATGTGAAACTAAACCTTCATTGATCTCAGCTCTAATCTGAGAGGTTGGAAACTTGTACTATGATGAATTTCTTCTGTCTCTTTGAATTTGATCCGTTGTACTTAGTAGTTGGTATAGTCTAGTCTAGTTTGTTCTAATGTGATATTATGTGTATATTATTATTATTATTAATTTATTATTATTTAATGTTATCCAATCCTGATTTCACTTGACTTGTTTAACTCAGATATGGTCCAACCCTGGTTCGATCTAAGCTAAGTAAGCCTGACCTGACTTGTCTAACCTAGGTATGGTCTGGTCCTGGTTTGATCTAGATTAAGTAAGACCAAGTGAATAGATCCTTTGTAGTAAAAGATTGTACCACAAACATATACTACGTAGTTTAATGTTAGTTTCTTGCCATGCTCTCTTGTGGTATTTTAAGTTATATGAAAATCTTATTATCATCGGTCTTGTTTATTCAGTCAATCACTCACTCATTATATAAGTGTGTGTATAATAGTATTTATTTATTGGCTAAAGGGTCAAATATGTCCATGCAACGGTCGTGTAAGTTCAATTCTGCCCCTGAACTAAAAAAGTCCAATTCGCACCTTGAATCGTCAAAAAATAGTTCAAATTTCACTTTTTACAGATAACCAACCGGTCACCCGCCACGTCACCAGTCTCATTGCCAGATGTGCATCTAAAGTTCAAGCTAAAAGCTCAAATAAGCCACTGAACCCGTCACGGTTGATCAAATCACCCCTAAACTATTAAAAATTTTGACACTTTTAAATTTAAATTGATTAAACAAATGCTAGTCATTAAATGGTTAGCTGTTGGGATTAATTGTTGTTGAGTGTCTTCTAACTGCTGCAATGCAGTTTGGTAGCTTCCTGTTTCCCTGGTGATTCTGCCACTCTGCAAGGCGCCATTCATAAGAGTTCCAAACTGCAACTCTGCAAGGTTTTGTCTATGCACATAACATTTTAATATTTCATATCCTCACAAGTTATTGATTGAACAAACAATCAATCCAAATAACCCGGGAATGCTGTAAAAGTTTGGTAAAGGGTCAAATAAGCCCTTGAACTAACTTAAAAAGCGCAAATCACCCCCTTTATATAAGAGGCTCTGTCCGGCCGTCGCCATTTGGGGCGGTTCCCGATGAAATTTTTTGATGAAATGTTTTGAGCATCTTCTTCATTAGCCCTAGTTTATCGATACCAAATTTCAGATAAAATTCAATCGGGAAGACAATCAAATGATTTTCTGAAATGTACTGTGCATTTTAAGGATGTTTTATTTGGACTGTAATTCTCCCAGCCCAGACCAAACCAGTTCAGACCAGACCAGACTTGGATAGTTATAAGGGGTGATTTGCACTTTTTGAATCAGTTGGTGGGCTATTTGACCTTTAGCCTAAAAGTTTTGTTTCTTCGTCCCTTTTGACTCTTGATAGGGAATATAATCATAATGTCTTAGACTTCTTTATCAAATAATCCTTTTCAAAAGACTTTTTGGAATAAAGTATCGTATACTTGCTTTGGAAGAGGCACATCCTTGTTTTGGAAGCCATTTTGAGTCGAAAGTCAAAGTCTTGTTTTGCAGAAATTATTTCAAATATAATATATACATCGTAAAGTAATACTTTGTAATCAATAAAATTGTTGCATCAACTGTATCATATAACAATTTTAAGTTTTTAACAACTGAGTATCAAGGAGAGCTAGTATATGCCATGGTTGTCGTGTAATTCGTTGGGTTTCAAGATAAGTGAGTAGTTTCAAAGTTGTAGTATTTGGCTAGACTCTAGAAATTAGGATGAGAGATGGTCCCAAGATGACCGTATGATTTTAGGATCTCAATATTTTGTAAGGTCGCAGAAATTAAGAGTCCGTTTGGTAACCCTGTTTTTCGGCTTATTAGACTTATCAACTATATCAATCAACTTTTTCACCAAACACGTAATTTTCGAGTTCACGCGCTGAATTGTGTAATAATAAGAAAAAGGCTAGAGTTACTTTTATGTTTGTATTGGTTGAAGTTGATGTAGAGGACCATTTTAGCTATTTTTAGTAACATATATTTTCAATATAATTTTTTCATAAATCAGCAGAATCAACCAATTCAACCATTACAACCAGAATTTCATAGATTTCAGCAGAATCAGTTGATTCAGTCGATTTTGGTATTACCAAACGGGCACTAAGAATGATGAGATAATTTTATGATAAAAATTAGTGACTAGTGGTGGTTGAAACCCAAGAAGAGAATATGCTTAATATAAAATGAAATTGTATAAGTAAGGATCCTATATTTTATTTATGGGAAAAGTATGTAAAAGGTACTTGTGGTTGGACTCGTTTTCAGATAGGATCATGTGTTTCATTCTTTATCAAAGTAGTTCATGTGTTTGAATTCCGTTATCACAAGAGGGTCACACCGTTAAAAACGTCTGAAAAAACCCGTTAAAATTAACTATAATTTTCAAAAGTGCCCAAAAAATTAAAAGAAAAACATCGAAAGGTGCGCCTCGTCAAGATGAACTCCAAACCACCTTCGCGTTTGGATTTTTCAGATCTATTTGAATTATTTTTTAAAAATGATTTCGCTAATATGAGATTTCCGATGGACTTTCCGGTGACAAGGGTGGCTGAAAACAAAAAACAAAGATGGCCTAGCGGTCGTTTTATTGAGGCGCACCTTCCGGTATTTTTGTTTTAATTTTTCGGACACTTTTGAAAATCGGAGTTACTTTTAACGGTCTTTTTCAGACGTTTTTAACGGCGTGACCCTCTTGTGATAACGGAATTCAAACACATGAACCACTTTGATAAAGTATGAAACACATGACCCTATCTGAAAACGGGCTTAACCAGAAGTACATTTTCCGTACTTTTGCCTTTATTTATTTATTTATTTATATCTAAAAGGAGAATCTTTTACCGTCCAAGGGTACTCGACCCCACCTGGAGTATTCTGGATCATTTACCGTCCGAGGGTACTCGACCCCACCTGGAGTATTCTGGATCATTTACCGTCCAAGGGTACTCGACCCCACCTGGAGTATTTTGGATCATTTACCTTCCAAGGGTACTCGACCCCACATGGAGTATTCTGGATCATTTACCATCCAAGGGTACTCAATCCCCAGTCTATCCTCTACCAAATCCTAACCTGGATATGGCTAACCTTTCATTCCTTTAACTATGGACAATGCCTAGACCTATAGTCATATAACAATCCTTAGGAACCAACGTGGGCGGGTCCCACCTTAACGGCCCACGTTAACCTACTCAAAACTGCCCGTTTTGAGCATAAACCAATACTCGATCGAGTACTCACCTATACTCGGTCAAGTACAGGAGACAGTAGCCCACAAGGCTAATTTTCAATGTATACTCAATCGAGTATCTACCCATACTCGATCGGGTATAGGAGGCAGTAGCCCCTGGGGCAAATTTTCAGCAAATACCCGGTCGGCTACTTATCAATACCCGGTCGGGTATGGCAGTTGACTTGGCGGTCAGCGCCCGTTTGACCACCCAAACGGAGTCCAATTAACGTGAAATTTTACACACATGTACTTCTTGACGTCCTCAATCCAAAAATACCATTTTGGATCCCTGGAACATCGCACATAATGATTTATCACATTTTTAATCATCAAATGTAAATAACATGTTTTTCAACTATGTTTTATATATAATCATGGCATAAGCAAATACTTGATTATCGTTAATCATTCCATAAAACATATTTTTGATTACTTTAGGTAATCTCATGCCTCACGCAAAAGTTATAAAGCATAAAGCCGTCTTCTCACCTTAATGAAGCTTATGAAGTTCTAGCCTTCCCGATTTAGCTCCGGCGAAACTCCGGCGAACTTCAACGAACTCCGGCGACAACTCCGGTGACCCTTTCAACTCCGTGAAAGTTCCTTGAATACCCTAGACAAGTTACTAACAAGGTTTTATCATCGTAAAACCCATAGCAATACAAATAACCTCAAAAAGGTTATTTTCCGGCGAACCGGTCACTTTGGCTTCTAAGTCCGTCCTTGGACTTAGAACTACCTTCCAACCCCTCATTCTACACCTCCAGACATGTAGAACAATACTATGGTGTGAAATATGATTGAATAATCATATAAGAGGATTGAATAACAAGAAATGGGATTAATTGAGTCATTACTTTGTTAAACACAAGTTTTTCCACCTAAACTCCTCTTTTCTCTTCTCTTTTTCATTTCTTCTTCCTCCCTGAACTTGGTGCGTGTATGATGGATGAAAATGGATTATCTGCAGAGCTTCTCTCACTTGGTTGATGCCTGATACGAATGGGGGTGAGTTGGTGTGATTGAGAATGCCTTCTTGGCATTTCTCACAATCATCGCATTTGGGAGACCCTACTCCATTTAATGCCTTTCCTCTCAACCCCTTTTCTTTCCCCTCCCCCTTCTCTTTGTGCGGCTCCCCTTGTCAACCGCAGGACTAAAAGTCGTGGGTTGGCCCCCACACATGTGGGAGGTCACCCCTTTGTATCCCGATGCGTACACTCGGCCCCGAAAGTTGTATTTTCCGGACTGTTTTAATTATATTTTATTTTACCGGGTCGAATAAAATATAACACTTGTTCCCAATCCTTATTGGACCTTAGAATCAATATGCATTCCCCAACTTTAATTTAGAAGTCTCCGAAATCCCCTTTTGGGCTGTTATCTGATAAATTGCCGATACCGATAATTTGGCCCCGTTTGACCAACCGGTCAACCCTATGTCATTGCCATGGCCAATGTAGGATATCCACCACCATATACATATTATCTAGTCCAAGATTAATATAATATGTGGTCCCGATAATATCGGGCGGCCCCCACTTCCGATGTGGGCCCCACATGAATTTTACTATTCACGCAAAAGAATTGATAAAAATTTACAATCGCGTAAAATGCGTTTATTCATTTCTCAAGGTTCAATACATAATTTGATAAAGTATAAATACTTGGGGGCGGTGTTACAACTATGCTAAAAATGCATAGAGTTTCTGCAAGTATCGAGGACAGAGTCTCACTCTCTATCTGTCAGATTGGGATTATAGTTCAATTTACATTCTCCCAACGTACCGTCCGACCGGAGTTGGGAGACCCTCAGGGATGGGGTGTCATCCTTTTTTTTCGCTAATAAAGTATTATCCATGTAGAGACAATCATACAAGAAAAGTAGAAGAGTTCAATAAGAATACTCACTACATTAGTAACATTACTATAAGACCACGAAATTTTCTAAAAAATTATAGTAGCGAAAATTCCTTAAATGAAATTAAAATATTGTTAAAGTTCATAAATATGATTATCATTGTTTTATTTCCAAAATATGACACATTCACTCCTATGTGAGGAAAGCTTAATCAACTTTTTCTTTTAATACAACCAAAATAAATCCAATTTGATGATGGAGTTGAATGCGCTGGACGTTGTCACCATCGCCGGAGTTGAAATCACTGGTCTGGGGATGTTGATCGATGGTATGTAGGTGAGAGGAAGAATGAGTTGAAATCGTTGATCTGGTGTGAGTGTGCGATGACGAGAAAGAACGGGTCACTTTTTGGGCAAATAGAGTTGGTCATATTTTTGGAATCTAAAAAGCTTCATTGTCATAAACAGGCCATTAACTCAATGTCTCAATGTGTTTTAAGAAGATCAAATGATTTTTTTGTAATTTAAAAGAAATTTAATGCACATATATGAATGGAAAAATGAAACTCCGTATTTAAACGGGTGAGAGAGGACCTTTTACCTTTATAAGTTTATAGCCGGATGACTTAGCGGCATGCCGGCATTAAATAATGGAGTGACGAAATACAGAGTACTACGTATATACTACTACGACCGTGCATGCGTGTATTTACTACAGAGTATTTTGTTTTTCTATTTTTCTTCTTCGGACTTGGAATCTCTGATGACCTGTCCGCTTTTCTGACTTTCTCTTTGTGTGTAATTATATAAAAATAATAATAATTGTAATGAAAAATAATAATTCCCACCGTATTCAAACAAAACACTCCATCATCAACATAGGCAAAAATCAAGGTACTTGTTCTTGACTCTTGAGAAGCCAAACCTGAAGCAGAAACCAAGAAAGAAATCAGAGAACAACCCCATTTTAAATCTTACCCCCCAATGTTGAGTAGAAACTTTCCCAAAATCTCATCTTACTCATGAGTTGATGATCAAGAATCCAGAGATGGGTTCATCTTCCCAAAAGCCCTTTTCCCTCATTTCTCTACCCCTGCTACTTCTTTCCCTTCTTCACCTCATTTCACAATCCAACTCAGAATCCGACTACACCAGCTTGATTTACAAGGGCTGTGCAAAGCAGGAACTATCAGATCCGGGCGGGGTTTACTCACAAGCCCTCTCCACTCTGTATGGCTCTCTCATTGCGCAGTCCTCAAAGACCAAGTTTTTCAAAGCAGCAACTGGGAGTAACCCGAGCACAGTCACTGGGCTTTTTCAGTGCAGGGGCGATCTGTCCAACGTTGACTGCTATAACTGCGTGAATAGGCTTCCAATCCTCATAGACAAGCTTTGCGGTCGACCCATGGCTGCAAGAATCCAGCTCTTTGGGTGTTACATGCTCTATGAGGTTTCTGGGTTCCCACAAATCTCGGGGATGGAGATGCTGTACAAGACTTGCAGTAGGAAGCTGGGTCAAGGGAGTGGGTTTGAGGAGAGGAGAGACACTGCTTTCACCAATCTAGTTGGAGGGATGGGTAGTGCTAATAATGGGTTCTACACCACCAGCTATGAATCTGTGTATGTGTTGGGGCAGTGTGAGGGTGATGTGGGAAGCTCTGATTGTGCGGACTGTGTGAAGACTGCTGTGCAGAGAGCTCAGGTTGAATGTGGGAGCTCTATTTCTGGCCAAATCTTTCTCCACAAGTGCTTCATTAGTTATAGCTCTTATGCTAACGGCCTCCCTAAACAATCATCTCCTTCTTCCTCCTCCTCCTCCTCCTCCTCCTCCTCCTCTTCAGACTCACCTCCTTCCTCAGGTACTTTTTGTTTAGTTTTTGTTTTTGCCTTAATTTGTTCTAATTTCTAGCATAATTTGATATATTATTTGAAATCCTAATCAAGATTTTTATTCTCTTGACAATCGGGGCTTTGTTTCACCTGTTTGCCCCCTTTCCCTTTTTCCACCTGGGATTGAACTTCTTTGTCCCACTGGATCATCTGGTTAGGTTCTCAGGTGGCAGCTTAGATAGAAGCCTCGTATAAAACCTATTATTCTGGCCTCCCACTTAAGGGTCCGTTTGGATGTGGAGCTTTGGATGGTTTAGGGAGAAGGCATTGGAGTGCTTTGTCTATCGTCATAAGTAGAATGTTCAAATGATTGAAGAGTGATTGAACGCTATATGATCACGTACTATGTTATACCTTCAGTTTTTATATTATGACCCCATGAGGTCTGTTTGGATGGATTGTTGAGAACTTGAGGGAAGACTTTGGACTGTTGGAGGGCTTTGTCTATCTTCACAAATAGAAGTCTTCTAAAAAGCCTGAAGAGTGATTGAAATGCTGTATGATCACATACTAATTTATTCCTTCAAATCTTTTTAAAATCTTAAATCACCTACTAGGTTCATTTGCTATATGATTACCCTCTAAGGTATGTTTGGGTGGAGGGTTTTGAAGGGGAAAAATTTGAAGGGCTTAGTCTCTATCTTGATTCTTAATGAATAGAATTTTATTGGAAATGAATAAATAGAGGTTAAAATGTTATATGGTCATTTATTATGTTATTCATTCAGCTGTTATGAAATCTCAAATATGTAGTATATATCAAGATATGGACTTAGTCGTCCAAAATCCTCCCCCCAGAAACCGCCATCCAAACAAACCCTCAGACACTGTTCACTATCACGATTTACTTCTTATCCACATACTTGGGCAGAAGGTGAGGGCATCCAGGGCGAGCAATTTCGTGTTTCGGCACCGAAACTCTATTCTCTTCGATTTTTGTTTCAAATATTGCAATATGGAATGTTTCATTTTAATGTTTAAGAATTTCAACAAGCTGATTGTCTTAGCTTAGATTAGATTGAGGGGTCTATGAATATGTGATCAATAGGAGGCTGTGTTTTGAACAGCAGTTCCCTGTGTGCTAACTGCTAACTAACTACAATCTTATGTTTGATATACTATTGCTGGGTCAGGACAAAATGCAGGGAAGACAGCAGCTATAGTAGTAGGAGGGGCTGCAGGAGTGGCCTTTGTAGTCATTTGCTTGATGTTTGCCAGGAATTCAATGAAGAAACGTGACGGTAAGCTTAACATCTGATAGTGTTGCTAGATCATGTCCTGTTTCTTATGCCATTTCATTTTATCTTTTGGAGTGCTTTTTTTTTGCAGATTATTGAAGGGAGGAAGCTGCATTTTTAGCAGAAACTTTTCCTGAGGTGGACCTTTCCTGTAATTTGTTCATTCCATCCAAGGGAGAGTCTTGACTCCTTATTGTGGATCTGGATTCGTGTTAGTAAAAAACTATTTGAGGTTTGGGTAGTTTTTTTTTATTTTACTTTTTTACTAGTGGTGGGGGGGGGGGGGGGGGGGGGGGGGGTAACTCCAGCTGTTAATGAATGTTCAAGTAATTTTCTATTGATTTTTTGGAGGGTGGAGAGGGTGCAAGAATTAAGAAAGAATCATTTTTTGTCAACAATGAAAAAGATTGGAAACAGCCCTGTTGGGTTTTTGGCCTTTCTTCCCAATTGCCCATGTGAAAGCCATCTCCTTTTTTCTATTTTCTAACATAATAATGGTCTTCCTATTATTTCTCCAAACCTTGTGTTCATCAATATGGAGATATATAGGTGGACATCATCAGTTTGCTTAAAATAATCTAACAGCTTTATTAAGTTCCACAAGGTCATGTCTCTATCTCTTGGCTTGTTTTCATATGTGCTAATGGCAATATCATTTAGCTCTATTTCCCATACTTTTGAGCTCTCTTTGTGACTGGTTGATTTAGCTGTTGGACTTATTTGCATTAGTACATTGTAATGCTCTTGACATCAGTTCTTCACTTCTTGATTGCCTCCAAAGCATTATTTGTGATGTTTCGCCATCTTTGCTAGATGCCTTGGTTCTGAATTGATTGATTCTAATTGATAAATGTAGACACAAAACTTGACATTATTATTACAGAGGTAAAGGCGATCAATCCACTTCAATTCAAAAGGGTGCAGATTTTTTTAATATGTACTGTATTACGGAGTATAAAACAATGTATTTCAAACATTTTCTTCTAAATGCATTCTAAACATAAAAGAAATTGTATGCATATATTAGGGAGTACTAAGTATATACTAAAAAGGGCCGTTCTTGTTATACACAAAACTTATACACAAATTATGCAGAGCATGTGTGCACAAGCAATTGTTAGGCAATTATTGATTTTCTTAAACGGTATGTATAATTTATGTATTAATTTTGTGTACAAATGTAATTTTCTTACTAAAAATTAGTTTTGCAAACTGAATATTGGACTACTGCCTACCAACAACTAAGTAGTCAGACGGGACAATGAATTTAAATAGAATTAATTAATTTTCTTTTAAAAGAAACCTGCAACCTAAGTGTAGTACTAGGTATTGGGTTACAGACTTACAGCCTACGAACTAGGAAATACTTTTTGAGTGGCAAATTTAGCTTTCCTTTCATTTATCAAATTTAGCTTTCCCTTAACTAAGTATTTCCTCCGAACTAGGAAATACTTGATTAGGGGTGGACTCAGGTCCGGGCCGGGTCTGAGTCGGGCTTAGGCCCGGGCGGGCCGGCGGGTCAGAAATGGTGGACCCGGGACCGGCCCGGGTAACCACCGGGTCCGGTCCGGGTCCGGGCCGGGCCCATTATAATTTTTTTTTGTTTTCCTCTTCCTAATTAACCCCCCTCCCACCCCCAACCCCAAACCACCCCAAATGGCCCAAAATACCCAGCCCAACCCAAAAATTTAAAAAAAATTGAAAAAAAAAAACAATTGTTTTTGGCCCGAACCGGGCCCGGGCCCCGCCGGGTCGGGCCTTGTTTTGGGTGACCCGAGCCCGGACCGGTCACTGACCGGGCCACCGGGTCGGGCCGGGCCGGAACAGTACCGGTCTCGGGCCGGTTCCGGGTCGGGCCACCCGGCTCGAGTCCATACCTTTATACTTCTAAGAAAGTGAAATAATGTGGTTGCGATCGACTTAAAATAGTTAAATAGTATTGCCCCATCCCTCTAACATTTGACAAAAAATAATGATGTGATTGTCAAGAATAGTGAAATTGTGTGATTGATATTTAAATTATAATATAAATAAAGTAAGAATAAATGAAAAATATTCAAATTTTACTTCATATCAAGTATGATATGAGATAAACTTAGTAATATGTTCAAAAAAGTAAAAAAAAAAGACAAAGATAAGGGGACCGAAGGAGTAGTATCCATCGCACAAACGGGTTTAATAACAAAAATGAAAAGAAAATTTTAGAACAACTCAAAAGAAAATGTGGGAAGTAAATTTTGGAATGAAATTAGTATTATATTAATCACATGGCTAAGGAGCAAAATTGGAGTAGAACAAAAAAAGTTCATTTGTGTACTAATATTCTAAATTCCCACATACAAATATATGTTACGCATGAAAAACTTGGGGTAAGTCTGCACCATGATTACATCTATTGTTTAATGTGGTGCACCTAACCATCAGCGAGCGCTAAGAGCTATCTCCAATGCTCTTAGTGCATTGCTGATGAAGTGACAAAAAAGTGGATAGAGTCTATTTGACATGTTGACCAAGCATTAACTAAAACGAAGAGTCTATTATAATACTACACCAATGCAAAAGTAAGTTAAGGAAACAAAATATTTTCAAAAAATATTAAGGAAACAAAATTAAATAAAAAAGAGAAAAGCTCCATGAGGGGGTAGAGGGTGACACCGAAGGTCCGGGATGGATCTTGGCTTAGACATTAGTTCATTTTTCAAATGTCATGTCACCTTGTTCTACTTTATTTTGCATTCAAGATGCCATTTATATTTCAATATTCCAAAATGTTAGAATCCCCGATTCTAAGGCCCCCGTGCACCCTGACCCAACAAGGTATTATCCTCCGTATCATAATAGTTGCAACATTAGAATTTACACACTATTCATGTACTCTACTTTGACTACATTTTATTTATTAACGTATGCGAATTATTTTTTTTGAAAAATATTGTTGAATTCGTCTCATTACGAAGTTTCATAATCTGATTTTTAAAAGTGTTTTACTAATACAGAATTAAATATAATGATGGTCAAAGTTGTGCATTGGTAAACGTGAAAAAATGAATGTTGCATCTAAAAAAGAACGGGGGAAGTATTTGAGAGGTTAAAATTTGTAAGTCACGGTGACTCAGTCAGCCTAATGACGGTAGATCCGGTACTTGTGCGCACCAGAGGTTCAGCCCAACACGCATGAGCTGTAACCTCTAAATGGCCGTTGCGCATTTTGATCCTTTATCAATGTTCTAACTTTCCCACCACTTAATCAACTGAACTCCCTGTGCGGGTGACATTTATATTTCAAAAATGCATTTGATGAGGTGGAAGTACTATGCACATCTCCATACTCAGAATCCCTAAGGAACAAGTATACTCTTGGGTACATAATGTAAAAAAGAATTTGCACTATCTTCTCTGAGTTACAATTGAACATCAATTCGTTTTTAGGTAATTGGGGCTATGAAGTACATGAGCTTTTTAAATTCGTAATTTGATGTATAGGTAGTATGCAATAAATATAATTTAAGCTGGATAAATTGTAATTGTACTTAGCAGTTAGTCTCAGAATCCTTAAATGATATACATAGTACTTCGTTCCGAAGAAGATACCCATTTACTATTTCTCCATCAAATTGTATATACATATATGTGTGTGAGAGTGTGTTATTTTAATCATTTCCAATCCAACTCAAGGATTGTACTTTCCTTGGTCTACATTAACATCTTAAACATATATATCCGCGGTTGTCGTTGATTCATGGATTGAGGTGATGAATTTTTAGATTTGTGCTTCATTAAATTTATACTTATTACTCTTGTATTGTATTTTTTACAATAAAGTTTTACTTCTATTTTCATATTCATATTTTATTGAATGTGTTTCTATTTTTATTTTTGATTTCCAAACATTCAATGTTCAAGGGTCATTTAGTCCACAAGACATTACCGAGACAAGAGAGCATTGGGCGTCATTTGTTTGTGACACCACAAGCAGTATGGGTTGCTATTAACAAATATGATTCTGTTTTGATGTCTAGAATGAATAGTGTTGTTTTAATGTGAAACTTTGTACTTTTGACTTGCAAGAACTTGTGAAACTTTTGTAGTTTTTGCTTGGATGAACTTGTGAAACTTTGTAGATTTGGTTTGGATTGATTGGTGCTAGTACTATGTGAAACACTGTATTTTGCTACAATTATCAATATATTTTCCATAATTCTCATTTAATGATTTCATTATGTTGATACAGTATATAAAAAAAATTATAGTATGCATAATCTATTGGATATGTGGCTTACTTTCTAAAAACATTCAAAAATGGTTGGTGGTTTAACCCATATAAAAAGGATTTTATATGGGGTATTACTAGACTGAAACGGAAAACATTCGATAACGGTTAAATTCATAATCGTTATAAAAAACATTTTACAAGGGGTACGACTACCCGACACGAAAAGAGTATGGCTTTCTATATTGCTGGCTACGGGTCATACTCATCTCCATTTCTTTCTCTCCATTTACTCTCTCCATTTCTTTTTCACTTTATCTCTCTCCTTAAAAATAATAATTAATCATAATCTTTTCTTTTTCCATACCCCAACTCTCTCTATCTCTCTATTGGACACTTCCAGTTAATGGAGAGGAGCAAAATCCGTTGGCTACTATGTCGTTACGGGAACCGACATAAAAAGTGCTTTTTAACGCATATAGAAAGTGTTTTCTACACTAGTGTTAATGTAGAACACCATGATGGTATTGAATAACACCTTAACAAATTCAGAGATTGAATGACTCAATTAGGAATGAATATATGTAGTTCGTAGGAGTGATATTTTTCACAATATTGTATACATGTGTGTGCCTCTTCACATGCACATGTGAACTTTTGATTTTCCTCTGTACAAATCTGAACTACACAATTTATACTTTTCTTATTTCACACTCAAATTAAAGTAGACAATGTTGAATCGGGATGGAGGGATTAATTTTATGAGTAATCAAATTTTATGAGTAATCAAATTTCGTCACCACAAAGTTATATGAAAGTTGAGTTCTTCACTTTCCCAACATTCCAAATCAAAACTCTCATTTGTTACAAGAAAAAGGACTCCCACACTTCATCATCAAAGCACATACATTGTGAGTAATTTTGGAAGTTTTCTGTTTGGCAAGGATATTGGCAGGAGGCCAGCACTCTGAGCTAGACCGGACACCCTTGTCTGAATTCACATAAGATTCTGTCAAAGCTGAAGGTGTGGTGTGACTTTGGTAGGTGAGCCCGGTGCCAAACTTGTGTAGCTCGATCAACTTGGACTTCCTAGCGGTCAAAGCTTCAATGATCTTTCAAAGTACATGGTCAAACATTGAAATTGCTTTTTTGAAAACTATAAGGTCATCACTATCATGTAGATTTGTTTTGTTATACATACCTCTCCATGTCACAACACCTTTTTTGGTATGTAGAAGGTAAATATATATATATAGACTTTGCAAAATTGCTATGTACAGCATTAGAGGGACATTCCTCAATCGAAAACAAACTTTTGTTTAAGAGCAACTGCACTTTAGCATATCACCTTCTTAAGCAAACCTAAACAATCTAAGAGTTCAAAAACTAATATAATCATACTAATGGGATAAATTTTGAAAAGCACCGGATAAAAAAGCAGTCTAATTTGAAAGATTTCTCCCTGAACAATAGTATCTTTGTGCGCAAAAATGAACTCATTTCTAGCTTTCCATATTGAGTATACGGTACAACATATAGCTAACCGGACAGCTTTGCTTCTTAGCCTTGCTCCCTCGTATTGCTTCATACACAATTTGATCCTGCTCAGTAGCGTTGTAGCATTCTTTTTATATTGGACTTGGTTA